GGGGAGTTGGGTCTTCAGCCATTCCCAGCCTTTCTACTGGGTTTCTTTTCTTACTACCAGTAATTCCTCTCGACTGGGACTCTCCTCCCTTCGATGTGCATGTGTAACTGCTGTTAACTGTAATGGGTGTTAAATGCATGCATGGAGGGGAAGACTGAAACCCCCTCCAGGAATTTCAGGGGGTGGCTTTTGTGGTTGGATATCAAAACAGTGACTGTGAAGCAAGGTTCTGCTCCCGCTATCCATCTGTGGGGTTAATCCAAAGTCTGCTGAAGTCCGTAGGGAGCTCCCCTTGGCTTCGGTGAAAACGGGATCGCTCCCGTGGGGCTGAACGTCGGGAGAGGTTTGCACTGAGTGCCTGCAGGCTCAGGCTCATAACCACTGCTGCTGGGCTTGTATCACGGAGTAACCATCCTTGCTGGAACGAGCCAGGGGAGCGGGAGGCAGGCGTTGCTTTCAGATTTTCTCTCGGTGCTTGGTGGGTCTTTGTTTTTTAAGGATGAAAAGTTTTACCGTAATTGGGTTAGGTTTGGGTTTGGTTTGGTTTTTTAATACATTTGTGTGCGCTGTCTGTCTGGCTCCAGCACCCACTGAAAATTGGCCTGTTATTTCAGAATTTTTTTAACTCCCAACCCCGGTGCTGGTTTGAAAACAAACAAACAAACCAACCGCTAAAGACAGGCGTAAAATACTAAAAGACGGCACTTTATAAATCCCACCAAAGCTTTGTTCAGCTTCAGGCCATGCTAGTGACTTCACTGCGTGGGAAATCCATACAGTCACTTTCCTTGAAGTCTGACTTCAGCTGCCTGAACTTTAAAATGTTTCTTTGGGTATTATTTATTAACTTTTAGCATGAGGGATAGAAAGAAATATGTCGCTCCTAGCCCTTTTGGGTAATGGCTCTGGCTTAGTAGTGTTATCCTGCCATAGAGTGGTGAAGAAACCTGTGCAGCCAGGCAGGTGCTACTGAAAAATAGCATTTATATGGGGAAGATCGACTTCAGACTGTGCATAGTTAAGAAATGATCTCAAGCACTTTAGCTCTTATGTTTTCCGATATTTGAATGCTGCTGTGTCTTCCTTTGGGGCAGTTTTGCATTTTTGTTGTTGGCGATGTTTTGTTTCCGTTTAGTGATGTTTTACAAACTCTTCAGTGTCCTTGAGGAGGGATGCTCAAAAAATAAAATACTACCTCTGCCACTCAGCATCGAGCCAATCTAGCGGGGGTGTTGTTTTGCATGTAAAACATCAGGGTTTTCAAGGTAACGCGCAGCTGGGATGATGGCTGGATACAGCTGCACACTGCTTCTGGCTCCCTTGCAGGGAATGACATGAAAAGCCTGCCTCGGTATGTAAAGGACCTCAGCATCTGATAATGGCTGTGAGCCACTGCAGTGGGTATAACCTGTTTTAGGAACGTGTTCTCATCCCGGATCCCGTCCGGTAGTCGGTCTCGCAGGAAAGAGCAGGCGGTCTAACCCGTTCTCAAAGCACAGTGCTTCATGGGTGGAATCTTTTCAGCTGCTTGCTTTTGTGATACGATAAAAATCGAGGAAGAACGAGGTCTCTCTTTGTCTCATCTCCCTCCATGCAGGAAACCTCTGTCAGCTCTGAACTCCTCAGTCCCTCCGGCAAACGGC